AAAAACAACAAAACCCCCGGCTAACTCGATTTTATAGGGCAAATTGCAGAAATCACATACTTTTAAGGCAAAATTACAATATATCCCTTAAAAGTTTATAATTACAGAAATCTCTCAAACATATACAATAATATAAGCGCTGGTACATTAATCTGATGCGCGAGATACATTAATCGTTAAGTAAGATACATTACATTTTATACATGATACACTAATCTGATACGCGATATACAATAATATAAGCGCTGATACATTAATCTGATGCGCGAGATACACTAATTTGATGTGCGAAAATGAGGGATTTTGGAAATTTGTAAAACTTATAGGGGATAATGGTAATAAGTAAACTAAAAGGTGGGATTTATGTAATTTTTCCTTTTATTTATATAATGAATTGACTCATCCCCTCATTGACACTCTTAATATGTGGGTTTAGTCGAATTTAATAATTTTATTTCAAATTTTTTATTCATATTTAAAAAAAATATTATATACATATTATTTACTTAATAACTTAAAAAATTGAAATATCAAACTTATAAAAATTTAAATTTTAAATTTGTCTTTATTGATACGTCATATATAAGACATTTTAGTTTGACTTGGTTTATAACATCTTTTTATATTAATAACGTATGATTATTTCCGTTATTGGACTCACGTATATCTCATTAGTTTGTTTGCTCTTTTATAAAGAAAAATCGAGGCAGCTACTTCGAAAAACACAAACAAAATTAAACGTCCACAATTTGCCCTTTGAGAAAAAAAAAGAAAAGACCAAGCATGTTACGTTATGCATTGTAATTTGTATGTATGTGTCATGTGAAACGTTTTGGAAGTCTTCTAATTATTTGCTTAATTCATCAACATAGCACATATATATTTGAGCGGTAAAATCAGAATTTTTATTGAATAATTTCAAAATATGAAAACTGGAGTCAAGACGAATTAAAATTTCTATATTATTATACATATATAAATATTTTTTTTACTAATTATATATATAATGTAATTTTTTGAACAAAAGATATCGATAATTAAATTCATGGCCTTCTAGCTTCCTTGACCCCTCACCATATAGATTTTTGTTGATGCATGAACGAAGATGAAACTCCAAGCTAGATTATTATCTTTACCATATATATAACAATAACATATTATTCAGTATAATTTCATAAGTAGGATCTGAGGAGGATAATATGTATATAGAGACCTTATCCCTACAGTTGTGGGTAGAGATGATGCTTTGATAGATCGACAACTCAACTAAGTACAATCAAAGCTGCATGAAAAAGAAAATAATGACTAAAAAAAAAAAAAAAAAAAAAAAAAAAAAAAAAAAAAATTAGAATATCTGAGGAGGATAATATGTATATAGAGACCTTATCCCTACAGTTGTGGGTAGAGATGATGCTTTGATAGATCGACAACTCAACTAAGTACAATCAAAGCTGCATGAAAAAGAAAATAATGACTAAAAAAAAAAAAAAAAAAAAAAAACAAATGAAATAATACATAGTAATTTTAAAAAAAAAAAAGGAGAATAAGATAAATACTATGCAGTTACTTTAATCCTCAACCTCCATATCATTTTATTTAGAATCACGTCCACTATTAGAATATTATCTTTATTTGTTTTATATTATAACGTTTAGAAAACCAAATTAATATTTGATGTAGCTAGCTAGGAGGAAAAATCATCAAAGGAGAAAGAAATCAAATTGGTTAGTTCAAGTGTATAGTTATATTTGGGACCAAAACAAACTATATATTATAAAAGTTGGCCTTTTCTTTTGTTACATATGAACACAAAATATTAAATTCAAATTCCTCATCTATATATGTACAAACATTCATCAGGAAGTTTCTACATTAGCAACGTGGTACATAAAAAAAGTAAACAGGAAAAATTAAAGAATCACACTTTCCATGGGGAAAATATATGGTAATTTTCATCCAATGTATGTCATTCACTTGCAAATTTTTTTATTTAAAAATGTGATATTTATATTATTGAATATAAAATAGATAATAACACGTGAATATGATTTTATATTATAAAAATTGCTTATATCGACAATGATACGAAGTCATATAGCGAGAGGGGGAAAAGAGTGTACAAATTTAAAATTCTTTTATTATCGATAAAGATTAAAGTTATTACGTTACGACTTACCAACAAAGAACAAAAATAAAGAGTAATAAGTTCTATTGTTCTAACTTAAATAAAATTTATATACAAAATAAATGAAGAGAGCTTAAAAAGTAAACTGACAATTTTTATTTAATATAAATAAACAATTTAGCATAAACTAATTGAAGATGACTAATAAATTATACTTTTACAATGATAACACTTGCATAATTCAGCAAAAATAATATAAGATTTTACTTTGTAGAATTTTTTTATCTTTGAAATGAAACTACATGCAGAATAATTTCTTTTGAAGTTAAATAAATAAGTTAAAAACCATAGTAGATTATATATATATATATATAGTTTTCTTTAGGAAGGGGCAGAAGGATGGTGGAACAATATTAGAGAGCACTAGAGAATGTGATGCAGTGGATGAAGCTGCTCTTCTTTTAATTAGAAGTCTTGGATTCGAGCCTTGAGTAAGAAAAATCTTAGTACATAGGGAGCGCTTCCCTCCAAATGAGCCCTACACGACGTGAATCTGAATTAATCAGGCTCCAATCAGGTACCGATAACAATAAAGAGAGAAAATGTGAAAATTTTAAGTGGAGAACAAAAGAAAATTATTATATTAAATTTATTCACGTGCTTAAGGAAAGTGAGGAACACCTTCTTTCCCATTTCTACATTAAAAAAAAATGGCTTACTAGACACATTTTGAATAATGTTGAAATATCAAAGTGAAATAAGGCTAAATTGAAAAATGGTGTCAAATAATTAGTTGTGTATGTATTTGGCTTTTTTCAATCTTTACAAATAACTAATATGGATGATAAATAAGAAAAACTTAGAAAAATAAAAGATTATCTAAAAATAACTAAATCTCTGAGATTTCCCTATAAAAGAGATGCACATGCATTGCATCACAATCAATTTTCCTTATAACATAATTAAAATATCTATGTCATTGAATATTAAATTGATTGTCCTATATTTACCAGAGTGATAAATACTTTTTTATTCTTAATCAGAAGTAAATATGGAGTGACCTTTATTAAGAAGCACTTTAACCCCTGATATGACACTTTTCAACACGAATTCAAATTTAATCAGACCCCAAGATAAGTACCAGACATCAAAAATAAATACATGAACCACCACAATCAATTTTCTTGTTTTTTTATTTCTTCATTCTTTGAAAAGAAAGAAATAATAGGAGTATTATAAGAATATATAGCAGAAATGGGTAACTACAATGAACTAAGATGCACAATCAATGCTCTTAGGAATTAGGAAAGTACTTGGTCATTTAAAATTTGTTCATACATACTCTACAACAAACATAGAAAGATAATAAAGACTTGATCCCCTCATCATAAATGCATCATTATTAAATTAAAATTGACAATAATAACTAAACGACTTCATTTGAAGTTCTATGCTAAAATTTCTAATGAAAATAAATCGCATATACCAAATTACTTATCAAGTCCAATGAATCCTTTATATTATACTCTCTATGTCCTAATAATTTATATAACATAATTTCATTTTTAATCAGTCCAAAAAAACATCACTTTTTATAGTTATTAATAATTTAATTCTAAACTTTTTTTTACAACCCTTAATGAATTAATTATTTATAACCACACAAATAGTCAAAAATATTAAAATTTGTGGTGACAATACTTTTTGACCATTTGTGTGTGGTTAAAGTCAAACAACGTCTCATAAATTGAAATATATGAAATAATAGTCTTGATGAATATAATTCCATTTATTTTAAATCCTTATTTTTACATTATTGCAATCTTTATACAGCTCAAAGCGGTGATTTGAAAAGAAAAAAACAACATAGTACTAGCTAGGATAGACCTACCTAGATATATATAATCAATTTAATTTGTCACCACCACCTTAGCTTCCTAAATATAAATGGTCTCCATCGAGTAGCTAATGACCTAATGCTCATAGTGCACCATTAGTGTCTACAATACACATACACACCTACTAACGAAGTCAGAATTTTCACTAAAGAAATTTAAAATATGAAAAAATAAACACACAAAAGAGTTGAAAAGGGTTCGACATCTACTATATACATTAAACAAATAGTAATTTTAACCATATATAAATAGTGTAATTTTTTGCCAACCCTTCGACGTCGACCATATCTAGCTCTGCCTCTGTGGGCTGTGTTCACATATTATATAGTAATTTTAATCTTATATAAATAGTGTAATTTTCTATCAACTACAGATGAACCCCTCGACCCTATCTAGCTCAGCCCTGCACTCGTTTTCAAATTACAATAATAATACAAAAACATGGCAAATTTAAAAGATGGACAATCATTATAAGTATCACCAAGACAGGTTAGCACCATGAAAAAGGTGTAACAGAATCCTCTTATAACTCCAAACTTTGACTTTCTATTAACGCGTTCTACCAGCTAATATATATAATGCCTATATATTTCACATGGTAAATAAGTTTACACCATAGTGTTCCATTCATCCACGTAAGAAAAAAAAAACTTCTAATATTCCATAAAAAAACAAAGACCATTATATTGGAATTATATATATAATTCCCCTTATATATACCTTGCACAAATAATGTGACATCAAGACATGTAAATTCTATACATTGATGGTATAACGAATATTTACATGACCAGATTACTTATAACGTAAATATAAAATGAAAAAAACTCATAAAATGATACATAACTTGCTATAATATATAAGATTAATTTTACACATAGATTGTTCAAACATAATAAAGTAATTAAGTTGCTTTGCACACTAGAATAATATAATGACTAAGAAATGCAAGATAAAGATAAAAGCTCAAAAGCACATAAAGATCAAGAAAGTGAGAAATTTTATAACTTACAAACTAAATAAAAGAAGAGACATGAATTGCATGGAACTAACACTTAGTTTGTTTTTTTCACTACAAGAAGATAGCACCAAAGACAAACTTCTTATCAAAAGGCTTCTTGTTTTCTAACTATATCCCCAAGAGAATCATCAGCCAAAATTTAATCAAGATGATAAAAAGAGTTAGTCTAATCTCCTAGCTAGCTAATATATATTCCACTTTCTTTATACCCTAAAATACATAAATCAAACCTCTCTATAACAGTATTGAGAACATATGATAATACTCATAACATAACGATATGAAAAAAACTTGATTGTTATAATGAAATACTGTTATAGATGATGACTGTTTTAGAAAGGTCTGATGATACGTACACCCCTACATGTTGTGATCTTCTCTTCTAAGCTTGTTCAAAAGAGTTGTGATAAGTGCATCCCTCTTCTCAGCTCTAGCTTCTTCTCTCATCCTTCTTTGTTCTTCCCTTTCTCTCCATCTTGTTTCCATCATTAGCCTCTCATTTTCTAAAGCCTCCATTGTTTGTCTCCATTCCATCTCCTTTATTCTCCTCTCTTCTTCTTTTGCTTCATAAGCTTTTAACCATTGCATTTCCATTACCATTTGTTGCTTCATGAAATCATCCAAAATCTCCTTTAAACTACTCACTAAATTATTATTATTACCACCACTTGAACTACCAACAATCATATTTCCCTTAACCTTTCTTTTCTTCTTGCCAACTTTTTCTCCATCACTATCATCATTTTCTTCCTCTTCATCAGAAGAAATAGACTTCTTTTTCGACCCGCTAGCTCCTCCTCCTCCTCCACCGCCACCTTCTGCCTCTATCCATAACATTCTTTGCATCCTAGCTGCAAAAATTGCTTGCAACTCATTGTAAAATGGAAATTGTTGTCTTAGAGCTTCAGGTTCAAGTGTCTCACATCCCTATTAAAAAAAAATGAGTATAATTGAAATGCATAAAGAAAACATAACTACTTAATTCTACTAACAAACTTAACAACATCAAGGTCAAGATACTTAGCTTGTAGAGACGGTTCTAGAATTTAAACTTGAATAGTTCAATCTTTGATATTTTAGTCTCAAAATATTGCTTTTATAAAAAAATTATGGATTCATAATTTAATGTTTGTTGAAACTCAAGTATTTTTTGTATTAAGTTTTGTATAGATAGTAGAGACATTCTAGAATTTAACTTTTGTTGAAACTTAAGTATTTTTTACATAGATATTTAGTTTTGTATATAGTTGAATATAAGGTGCATCTGGTCCTTCTAGCAAGTGACTTTCTAGGAAAGAAACTTGATAAAAGCTAGAAGGAACAAGTCTATTCTTTTTTCATTTGCTTTTTAATAAGTTTTGTTTATTCAAGAATATTATTAAAACTATATAGTATAAAATTAAAACATGTATTATATGTACCTTATAGCGTGTAACAAGATTTTTCCATTTGCATTTACACTGTTCCGGGCTACGATTATAACCTTTTTCTTTCATCTTTGTTGCTATGACTTCCCATAGAAGCTTATTCCTTTTTGTTTCCATGAAAGTTTGATCCAACTCCGCTCGAATCATCAAGAAATCTCTTGTTTCTTGAATACTCCATTGAGGGAATCTATCCCCTCCGCCTCCTGAAAATAATAAGGTGTCATGCGATAGCTAACAAAGCAAACCTCAAAAGACAAGAAAAAATATATATATATGTACCAATATTAACACCTCCACTTGTTGTATCGATATTCACACTTTGATGACTAAATTGATGTTGTTGTTGTTGTTGTTGTTGAAGATGATGTTGATGTTGATGGTGATGAAGATGAGGATCCATATAATAATTATAACCCTAGATTTATTATTTTTATTGTTATTGTTTTATAAAAAAGTATGTTTATGTGTGTTTGGACTTTGGTTGAAGTTGAAGTTTTGAGAGATGGTTTTTGTTAAGAAAATGGAGAGGAAAAAGATTTGGGGAGAGAGAAGAAGAAAGGTTTTATATGTAGAAAAAGAAATTGAATAAGGGGTTTTGTATATGGTCCTATGTGTGAAAATAAGGTGTGAATTTAATTTGTCAAAGAAAAAGAATGAATATATTTCTATGGTCTTATGTGTCAAAAGTGAGCCTTGTGTATTTTGAGTTCCTCTTCCATCACAAGAATTTAAAAAGAAAAAGGGGGAAATGTGAATCAAATCTTCCTTTTTCCAATTCATTCTCTTTTATTTTCTATCCATTTTTAATTGTCCGTTATATTAAACACATATATCTTCTTTTATTTATTTAGTTTTAAAAATTAAAAAATAATTTATCACTCAATTTCATATTAACACTTATTATTAACCATATTTATTTTTAGAATATATATTTTTAAAATACTGAATTTATTATATTCAAAAGTAATATAATAAAATTATCATTTTATATTTTTTAAGATTATGTAAAGTCAATATTGAAAAAGTAAAAATAGAACAAAGAAGTAGGTACTCCCTTTGTCCTTCTTCTTACTTGTCAAAGATTTCTATTTTAGAGTCAAACGATATGAATTTTGACTAATATTTTATGATATATATATTTTTCATTACATTGATATGGAAAAAAAATATACTAATTTATAGTATTTATTTATATAATTTTTAAATGTTTGAATTTTCATTTATAAAATTATCAAATTAATGTAATTTTGTTAGTCAAACTAATTTTCGAAAAGCGAAACATGACAACTCAAAAGAAACGGAGGGATGTATTTGTTATCCTTCAAACAAAAACAACGTCTCATCTAATCTCTCTACGCGTAAGCCCACATCTCTTTCTTTTTTTCTCTCTCCAAAATATTACTAGTAATAATAATCTTTAAAAAGTTTGAATTATAATAATATTAGAATTGACATCCACATTTGTTCATATTGCGATAAAATGACATCACGCTGTCGAAACAAAAAAAAACAGAACACCTTTGGAGGCTTAATTATTTGGTTTTATGTGACAAAACAAGTTGTACGTATTAGCTAAGATGCTTGTTTCACAAGGTTTCCAAATATTTTCTCTATTATTATCATTATTATTATAACTAATATTTGTAGGGGCGTAGCCATATATATTTCATGATCAGTGGCGGAATTAGAATTTTTAATAAGGGGTTTAAAATCTGAAACAAGACACATGAAATAATTGAAGGGGATTCGACATTTTTATATACTCAAAAAATTATTTTAACCATGTATAAATAATAATATAATTTTTCGCCGAAGAGGTTCGGCTGAACCCCCTGACTATAAGGTGACTCCGCCACTGTGGCCAAGTACACATCATTCGTCGAAAAATTATATGTTGTATATAAAAATTGTAAGAAATATACAAGTTAAAAATCATTTTTCATATATATAAATAAAATCTTAGATACCTTTAACGAAATTTTTGACTTCAATATTAAATATTTGGCTTAGTCTCTGTTGTAATATTAATTTAGTTTGTGCCAAAGAAAAAATAAATAGAGAAAGAACGTAGAAAAATACTTGACTATTATATGCTTTTTGTATTGTTGTACATAATATACGCGTTAATGTGGCACAGCGTGAACCGTGTATGGGGTGTCGGAGCCGTCGGCATCAGGTCTTTTTGAATTTTCGAGTTTCCGTCTCAATTTATGTGATTTTTTTTGTTTGAATTTTGAGATTCAAATAAATTTTTTTATTATAATTTTTTTATATGTTTTTAAATATCTGGAATTATTTAACTATATTGATTTATAATACTTTTTACGTAGTTTTTAAATATGTAAATTTTATTTGAAGAAACTCAAAGATTTTATATCCGAATTTATATTCAAAATTAAAATGTTTGACTCTCGAAATTCAAATAATACTACATAAATTGGGACAAATAAAATAATATATAATTCTAAAATGGATTTAATAATATATATTTACAGTCTAATGCACTATCAATGTATTTTACTACGTTGAATACATTTATAGTTTGTTAACTTACTACAGTAGTAAAAAAAGAATCGTTTTGATTGAGCATCTAAATAAATAATAAAGTGCTCCTATAAGACAGTCTAACAAAAGAATTGATATTGCTTTTATGCGTGTTTTCAAGTATCTATTACGTAGATAAGTTAATTATTTAAAATGTCATTTTTTTTAATTAGATGTATTATCCTCAATAATCCGTGACACTTAAGTCAGTTCCAATTCTCAATCTAATTGAACACAAAATTTAAGAATGAAAGATTTTATTTTATTTTTGAAAATTTTATTCTAAAATAAGTCACAAATATTTTTATACCTATAAATATCATCTCATTAAAAATACAATAGAAAGTCTAAAATTCAATTGTTATTAAATATAAAATGATATTATTTTTTCTCTACCAAAAAAAAAATGTCAGTTAAAATTGAAAAAAAAAAGAGTATCATCTAGTTTATTATTATCACTTTTGTGAAAGATTAAATATTTTTATCTATTACTCTTTTCATCTATGTCCATTATACTAAATATAGTTTCTCATGATTATTTGTTCAATTTAAAAAATCAAGAGATAAATTATCATTTTATATACCTATTTTACCCTTAACGGAAGCTATAGTCATTTCCCAAACTACTAAAATTATTATATTTAAAGGTTAATATAGTTATTTATCGTAAAAATAATACAGTTAAATTTATAAGAGGTCAAGAACTCGTGTCATCGATTTAGTTCATTGATTAACAGTTTTAATATTACAAGAATTAAGGATATGAGTGTAAAATAAATAACACGAAATAAAAGCAAAGCAAAGATTCCAAATTCTCTTAGATCACAGGACTGAGTGTATGAGAATGGTCATTGCATTTTTGGAAATAAACTCGAAACAATGAAGCTTAGAACACAATGAGAAAAAAATAGAAAATCAGAGAGAAAGTAATAGGCCAAATCCATTGGTGGCCCCCTAAAGTTAGCACGAAGTTTTACTTAAACACCTCAACTGAACGATGTTCATTTTAGACACCTCATGTAGGATCCTGTTGTGTCATTTTGACACTTTTTTGACAATTTGCTAAAATTACACTGTGCGTGTAACACACTCGCAAATAATATAATATAATGGCTAATTAAGGAACGACACGTGATATTTAAGTACAAAATAATACTTTAAAAATACATTATAAGGAAAAGTTAATTTTGCAAAAATAATAAATAAAAGCATTTATTTTCTAAAACCCCACCAAACTATCCCACCCCTTCTTCCTCATTCTTCCAAACTTTTCCGGCGCCTCCTCTTTACCCCTAATTTCTTCTTTTACTTTTTTTTCTTTTTGGGGTTTTTATTAAATTCATATCTTTTTTTTTTAGATTTAATTTGTATGTTATCAATTTCATGCTTTTTTATTGTGTATCTACTATTACAATGCCTCCAAAAAGAATAAAACTATAAAAGGAGCACAGATACGAATGCTATGTATTATTTGTACGTTGTAGTCCCTCCCGTTTAGAATGAATATCTGCATATATGAACTTGATCGGTGTAATAGATGTACAATGGTGTGTAGCACTGAACTTGAAAGATTGCAATAAAAGTTGTAAATGTTGGATCTAAAGAATAAGAATGAGAAGATGACGATGGTTGTGGTGATTTTCGAAACTGAAAAAATTAAAAAACTGATTCGATTGTATTAATAGCGATGGTGGCAGCGGTGGTGAATGGATGGTGTGTGGTGGAGGAGAGAATGAGGAAGAAGAATAGTTTTGGCCTTTTAAATATAATTTTTTTGGCCTGAAAAAGATCCCCTTCACGCGCAGATTTTGGGTGCATTACACTTACCATGTCATGTTAGTGAAAGGTATCAAAATGACACAGTGAAATCCTACATGAGGTGTCTAAAATGTGCATTAGCTAGTTGAGGTGTCTAAGTGAAATTTTGTGCCCACTTTAGGAGGCTACTGATGAGTTTAGCCAAAGTAATATTATTGTATTGTTCTGAAATATGAATGAATTACGAGAGTGAGTGGGGTGAACTATTTATGTGTTACAAAGACGATGAGATCTCAACCAATAAGAATTCTCCATTCGAGTTCTAAAATATATACCAAAAACAATAAGCATAAGCCACATGATGAGTGGATTGTTGTTAATCTTATTGGCGTTAGTTTGGTCACCATTGTCTACCATGAGTTATCTTGCAAAATGTAAATATTCAAACTAAAGAGAGAAAGAAGATTAGATAAGTTATACCAACACACAATTGTTAAAAAATCATCACCAACTTAATTAATATTCAAGACATTTCAAAGAAGAATCTAGAATATTCAAGAGTTATAAAAAAATAAAGGAAGATCTCTAGAATACTCATAGTATTCTAGAGAGAAAAGTCTAGAGATGTTCTAGAAAAGATAGTTCTAGAAATAGGTAGTTTGAAGAACATTCTAGAATATAGTAGCAAAACTCTTAGCTAGATTCTTTCATCACCACCTATAAATAGAGGTGGTTCATTTGAGTTGTAACCAACCAAGCAAGAAACAAAGTAAGAAAGCAACAAAGAAAGTAAGAGAGAAAACAAAAGTGAGTGTTAAGTCAAGAGTGTTGCTGAAGCAAGCAACAAGTGTGATCAAGATTGTAAGACCGAAGTGGGTCCTTACTTTGATATAATAAAATTCAAATTGTCAAAAATTGATTATGCCCGTCGTCTCCCAAACAATAATAATCTCTCCGTCCCATTTTATGTGGCACCATTTCCTTTTTGCTCAGTCCCAAAAAGAATGTCACATTTCCTTATATGGTAAGTATTTAAAGGTACAATTCCTCTTTTACCCTTGTTGGTCTCACTTAATCTTAAAGATATTACTCCAATACATTTATGAGAAGAGAGAAAAGTGAGTCTACTTGTTAATATGACTATTTTTTGAAGGGGCAATTTGGTAAACATTTCAAAGTCTTCATTTATTTCTTAAACTCCGTGCCCGGTCAAATGTTGCCACATAAAATGGGACGGAGGGAGTATTCAACAAGTGGTATCAGAGCCTGGTGGATAAGAGCG